AATATGTGGTTCGAATCCACCAGCTGCTTCATAGGAGAAAGATGGGAAATCTCTGTCTGTGCAATTTACTACCTCACTGGAGGGTCAACTATGGGTCAACTCAACGGTACACAACAACAAAGGTCTAGATGAAAAAGCCCTGGTGATGGCAGTGGTTAAACACGCAGCTGCACTAACTCAAAGGCCAGTGGTTCAAGCCCTGTTCTCTCTGCAGTAGGACTTAGTTGGCCGTCTGCTTCCATAAACACTTGTCGATGTTAGGTGTAAGTCAGCTCCAGCTCTGTGGATCACAGAATGAGACATCACTTGGTCCTGCACCTCCTGTAATTGTGCTTTGTTGACGTTCACTGCTGCCGTCACGCGGTCATACTTCTCATCAAGGATCTTCCTTTTTTAACACTGACTCTCTACTTGTCTAAACATAATGTGTTTCTCAGAGATTTTTGTTTTCTGATAACGTATCAGGACCCTCCTGATAACACGTCCAAAGAAGCTTATCTGAAGTCCCGCTGACTTCACTTCTAAGGGGTATTCCTGAAAAATTTTTCCAAAACATTTGTTCATGCTTCTGGAAGTTCATGGTGTATTCAATATTCTTTGCCAACACTATACTTCAAAACCATGAGTTCTTCAGTCATCCTTATTCATAGTCTAGCTTTCCCATGAACATGAGGCATGGTACATGTTAGTGCTCAATATAACATCTTTGGGTTTTTTTAAATTAATTTTTAAATTATTATTATTAATTTCAATGAAAGTGTACAGAGACTTTGGATTTCCATTCATTCATTGTTGCATTTTTCTCCCTGCCCACCCCTCCCCCCTCTTTGAAAAGTAAAAGAAAAATTTTTTCATTGTTTAACAATCCCTCCCCCCAGGTCCACTCCACCATGCAGCCTTCACTCTGGACTCACATCATGACAAAAATACCTAATCACGTATCCCTTTTAAACAGTTTTCTCCCTCATCTGTTTCAATGCAGTATACATTATTGAACCCATCTTTCTCAGTTTCCCCCCAACCCCAAGGTCAGTCCTGTTACAGTGGCACCATGCAGTATTTGCCCTTTTGTGACTGAGATACTTCACTCAGCATAATGTCCTCCAGGGTCACCCATTTTGAATAATATTGCATGAGTTCCTTGTTTTTCAAAGTAGTGTAGTATTCCATTGTGTGAATATACCACAGCTTCTCTAGCCATTCGTTTGTTGAAGGTCTTTGGGTTTTGACACTTTAAAGTGGAGCAGATTTACCTGATATGATACGTCGTTTAATTTCTTTTTTTTTTCTATGCAAGAACATGAGGGATTTTATTACAAGCTCCGTTTAATTTCTTGATTGCTGCTTCCTGACTGTTGATTGTGGATCTGAGTAAAATGCAATCCTCGACAATGTTAATATTTTCTCTTATCACTTCTCTCTAAAGATTTACAGCCTTGAAAATGCCATGGGACGTTTAGAGGGCTGATAAGAGACAGAATCAACTTAACAGCAATGGGTTTTGGGGGCTTTTTTACCTACGTGATAACATTTAAAGATGCAGGGAGAAGTGTGTATGCAGGATGCCGCAGGTTCTCTCAAATCTGGATTCACCAGCTTCTGCTATTTCTACTAATGAAAACGACTTAGGTTCTCTTTGCCTCAGTTTCCTTAATGGGTTACATCAAAGATAGCAATAGTATCTGTCTTAATTAGTTGTCATCAAGGGTAAATGAAATAACATAAAATAATGAACTCCAATGCCCTGAGACGTAGTTATTACATTATAATCGCCTCACTGTCATGCTGTTGCTAAGTATCATTCATTTGGGCCCTGAATCATGGTGACTTCACGCATTTCATGGAGTAAAACACTACTAGTACATTCCTGTCATCAGATGTGGACCAGGCTATTTTTTTCCCCCTTAATGCCTTTCTCCTCAATTGATAGCTAAACAGTAGATGTGTGTGTAAAGGAAAAAAAAAATCAGACGTATTGCTTTGGGAAATCTACTGTCAGGGTTCTCTTCAAAGTGCTGAAGAACAAGGATGCCAGTTAAAGACCGAGGTGTGCCTGGTCCGAGACATTGTCTATCAATTGCTTCCAATGCATCTGAAAGTTGGACAATGAATAAGGACGGGAGAAGAATTGGTGCCTCTTAGTTGTAGTGTTAGAGAAGAGTATAGCTTATCTCATAGGTTGCCTAAAGAACAAACATTTATGTCCTGGAGAAGGTGCAGTCAGGGTGCTCCTTGGAGGCAAGGATGGTGAAATTTTGTCTCACACACTTTGGGCACTTAGCCAGGAGGGTCCAGTGCTTGGAAAAGGACATCATGCTGGGAAAGGTGGAGGGTCAGTGGAAGAGAGGAAGACCCTCCTCTGCAAGATGGATTGACACGTGATTAACAATGGGTTGGAGCATGTTGGAGACTGTGACATGGTGCAGGGTAGGACAAGGTTCAGATCTGTTGGTCACAGGGTAACCATGAGTCACAGTCAACTTGAGGGCAACTACAACACCATAGCAGTAAGGCATAGAAAATTGCATATACACACAGAGAGACATATGGACTAGGACATCAAATGCAGAGCTCTGGTGGCTTAGTGGTAAGGAGTTGCCTTGGCAACCCAAAGGCTTGGGGTTTGAATCTATCAATTGCTCCAAAGGAGAAAGGTGGCAATCTCTCTCCCTGAAATTGACAGCCTCTGAAAACCCACTAGAGGGTCAGTGTTGAATGATTCAGACTCTACTGCAATAAATTTCAGGGGGGTGGGGTGGCCTTTGTAGATTCTACTCTCAAATATGACAGTTGTTCCAAACCTTGAGTAATGAGTTAACCTCTCTAATGTCATCTTTTGGAAACTAGGGTTAACAAAGTTGGTCTGTGGACAAAATGAGGTGATGCTTGTAAAAATACCAGCGCTGGTGGAAAGTCATCATCCATAATAGTTAATGACAGTTGTAATTAATAATAATTATTATTGTTACTATTATTATTATTATTAAACAGACACCCTGGGCTCTGCATGGAAAAAAAAAAATCCCAAACTAACCAACCAGCTGCTCTGACTCATAGCAATTCTGTAAGACAGAGACCGATTTCCTAGCATATCCAAGCCAATAACCTCTGGAAGCAGACTGCCACAGCTTTCTCTTCTCGAGCAGTTGGATCTGCAGTTCTTGTGACTGGTAGTCACTGAAGAATCAAGCTCTTCAACATTAGGGCCACAAACCTCTGCACATTGTTGTCCTTGTCGTGTTTCATCTAGCCGACGACAACCATAGTGACCCTAAGAACAATAGCTCTGAACCCTGTCATGTCTTGAGCCAGGGCCACTTGTGTTTGACACACCTGCCCCAATTGCCACAGTCACTGTCAAGCCATCTCACCCAGGGTCTTCCTCTCCTGCGCTGACCTTGCACCCTTCCAAGCACGAGGACCTTCACCAAGGACTTGTCCATCCTGGCCACATGTCACTTGGCAGAGGATTAAAAGTGGGTGGAAATAGTTCAAATCTTCCCCAAATCCCAAAACAAATCCAGTGTCTTGGAGTAGATTTTGACACAGAGTAAGCCTATAACTGCCTCATAGGGTTTCCAAGGCTATAAATAGTTATGGGCGCAGGTTCACACTGCCTTTTTAGGTTAGTAGTCGTCTAGTGCTCTCATCACCTCGCCACCAGGGTTCCAGAGAATCTGCATCCTATAATTTTCCACACCCATGACGCAGGTCCCAGGCACAGCAAGCATTTAAAGATCGGTGGTTGCTCCTTTATTCATCCCGCGCCCAGGGCGAGTCCTGAGCTCTGGGCGGGGCACCAGTCGGTCCTCAATGGCGAGGTCACCAGGGAGTGGTCATCACGCAGCGGCGCGGGAACTTCCCTGGCTTAATGCGGGCATTTTCCCAGGCACAGTTGGCCGGTGAGAGGACAGCATGGCCCAAGGTGCCACACTCCTTGTCAGTCGTTGGCAAGGCGATGGCCGTCCTGGTCAGGCCAGGTTGGGTCCAACTCTAGGGCTTTCTGGAGTAGGGACATTTTGAAGGAGGACTGAGATTAGTGGAAAGGCACAGAGTGGACATGTGGGATTCGGGGTGTGGCTTTGGACAGCAGTTGTCCGCAGATCGCGCTGTGCTGGGGTGGAGCCAGTGCGAGGCCCGCCCACCCATCTGCAGAGGCTGCACCATCCACCCTGGCCTCGGAGCGCATCAGATGGGAAAGCGACAAACCTGGTCGCAGCAATGCCGCACCGCCGCAGCTCTAGGCTCGCTCCTATGGCCCCGCCCCATCTTTGACAGGGCCCGCCCACACCCCGCCCCCTCACAGACGCGCCTCCCATTCAGGCCTGGGCCACTCAGCGGCTACGGCAACACTGCAGCACTGCCTGGCTCTGTCCTTCACCCTGCCCCTCTCTACCGCCCTCTCGGGGTCCTACCCCGCCCCTATCGCCAGGCCCCGCCCTCGCCCGCCCCTATTCTGGCAGGCCCCGCCCCTGGCTCAGGCGAGTCTGCGGCGGGGCTGTCCTCCCGCTGCTCTGCCGAGCCATCGCAACGCGCAGCTCCGCCCACCGGACCCTCCCCCTCCCTGCTTGGCCCCGCCCAGGCCCCGCCCCCTGCCTCGCCGCGCCTCGGGTGGATCTGGAGCGCGTGGCTCCTCCCGCAGCACTGCCGCACAGCGGCACCGTGGCTCGGCCCGCAAGCCCCGCCCCTTTCCACAGGCCCCGCCCCCTCGCGGCGCCTTGGGCGGGTCTGCGGCGGGCCCCGCCTCCTGCAGCATTACTGCACCGCGCGGCTAG